CATTATAAATGCTTTGCTTATTGCTGTATTGACCTCATGCACTGGCAGCTTCACGCACCCGCTGGGCCAGCAGTACCTGTCAGGGTCATCACCACTTCTGTCACAGGAGCTACGTGCCACCAGTGCCTCACCCACCAGGAAGCACGGAGGGCAAAACACCGGCAGTCATCTCTGAGGCAAGAGCTCGCTAACGCCAGCCTTGCCGATCATGAAGACAGAGCTCCCCTTCTGCTGATAACCTTTAGCACACGTGGTGAACTACACAGAATAGGTGTTGTATTCGGGTAGACCAAAGCCCTCTGTAGGTCCCAGTAACCTCTGCTATAAAATCAGGGTCTCGAAGCAGGGAACCGAGTTTGGCTACGCAAGTGCCAAGTGCTCGGCTGGAGAGGGAGCGCTTGCTTGCAGCGATGCAGAGCACCTGTCAGCCCGGCCTTCAGAGACATTAAATGGGATTAAGTCCAACAGGCTAATCCGATAGCTTCTACAAAGAAGACGATGTTTTAAATAACTGTATTTGCACTACTTTGCCCCCACTTTGTGCATGTCACATGGCAATGACAAGTCTGAAAGAGGCTCCAAAGGATTTTGGAGAAGACTGTGACGGTATGCAGATGGACTGCTTTGTACAGAACTGTTGCAACTTCCAAGGGCATCATTTATTTATTTTTTTTTCACATCCATTTTTGCTTAGACACAATCTGAAATATGGGTAAAACACAAGTTTTTGCTGTGATGACTGCTGGCACTTTTTTATTAACACACTAAAACTGCACAAAGATTGCAAAAACACCAGGGCCAGTGATTTAGGGTCTGTTTTATGTCTCTGTGGACTGGTAGCTGTGGAAACCTGTGCTGCTTAGTGGCCTAGCTTGCACAGGGAGGGAAAGGGGTCAGCCTCATCAAGTGAAGTAGCTTCTAAATACTGGTATGAAAGATAACTTCAGGGGAAAAAATATCTCAGGGATGCCACCTAAATCATGGAGTAAGGGATGGGATTCCAGAAAGGGATGGCTTTAAAACAATTTTTTTTCCCCCCAGTTATAGCAGTGTCCATCTCTCAGAAGCACACCAGCTGTTTTGGAGCCCATTCTTAAGTGAATAGCTTGCTCTATCTGTCTATCTATCTATCTATCTATCTATCTATCTATCTATCTATCTATCTATCTATCTATCTACCATATCAGAGGTGTACATCTGTATGTATAGCTGAGGCACCAAGGACATGCTTTGAGATTTTGGTCCAAAAGCCAAGAATAAGACACTGCAGTACTCAGCATTTCACCTTCTTTGTGGTATCAATTCTTTCTGATCCAGAGGCACTGAAGATGTAGGCCACTATATGGATTTTGAAGTAGATTACTTACTAGAGAGATCTTCTCCCCAGAGAAATGCTGCTCATTTCTCATTTTCTGGTGTCCCCAATGTCAGCCAGAAAAATAATTGTAGAGCCTTTACATTTGTTCTGCTCAATTAACAAGATCAATATCCTTGTGCCCTATAAAGCACATGCATGTATGTCCTGGATTTGCTAGGGATAGAGTTAATTTTCTTCCTAGTAGCTTCCAAGGGGCTGTGTTTTGGATTTGTTTTGAAAGCATTGTTGATAACACTGGGATACTTTAGGTGCTTACACTGGGTCAAGGCCTTTTCTGCCTCTAACACCACCTCAGCAGCCAGAAGGAGGGTGCACAAGAAGTTGGGAGAGGACACAGCCAGGACAGCTGACCGCACTGACCCAAGGGATATTCCATACCATATGGCATTGTGGACAGCAATTAAACTGTGGAAAGGTTGGTGCAGGGGCACAGCCTGGGGACTGACTGGCCACCAGTCAGTTGCTGGTGAGAAATTGTTTTCATTTGCATCACTTGTCTTTATTGGCTTTTATTTACCTCTTTGTTATTTTCATTTTTATTACAATTTAATATTATTTTAATTTTTTTTCAATTATTAAACTTCTTTTATCTTAACCCACAAGTTTTCTCACTTTTACCCTTCTGATTCTCTCCCTCATCCCACTGGGGACATGTGGGGGTGAGAGAGAGCGACTGTGGTGCTTATTTCCTGGATGGAGTTAAACCACAATAAAGGTACACATTTGGAATTTTGACTAGTGTCTCTAATTGACTTTAACTCTTGGCCTTTCACTACAGAAGCACTGTTAATTGAAATGAAGGACTAGTTTGTGCTCACTCATTGCAGCAAGTTGGCTCATAACCTTCCTTACTGTTACCAGTAAAACTGTCAAAGACAGTAAAGCCTTCAATTAGTGCTCTGCTTTATCCAGCAAACAGCAAGGCAGCTATGGAATGGATAGGATGTGCAGCTGCATTTGGCCCCACAGATCAGAAATGTCCCAGTATGTGGCTAACTCATGGTTAGTGTGGGAGGAGAGGGAAAGGGCAAGGCACGCTATAGTTTATGCCAGGGCCCATGACAACTCAGTTGAGAACATAAAGTCACAAGACATTTTTCCCTAATCCTAATAACTGAGCCAGGCAGACTGGCTTTGTGCTAGCAGATGGATGTTAAGACTCTGGGTTGACTGAGATCATCAGGCCCAGATTTGATAATAGGCTCAAGGTCAAGACAGAAAGACTACAATGCAGGTGTAAGGATACTTTCTCAGCTTGTTCTTCTGTGGAGTTTCCTGTATTCCAAGCGGAAATAAGTCTTGTGAGAGGTAAACAGGGTTGCTACTTCTCCCCACTGAAGTATTTGTCTTCAAATTCACACAAAGGCAAAGCAGGACATTGACACTTCTGAGAGAAAATGATACATCAGTAGCTTCCCCAACACACCAGTCTGCATTGTCTAGCAACTTTACCACCTCAGCAAATTCCTAATTAGTCCCCTCAGCACTAGTAGCTGGTCTTTCTGTACAAAGGAAATAGAGTTTGACCCACCAGTGTCAAATACAACAAAAAGCTATTTGTAGAATGGTATTCTTGGTCAGAAATATCTTGAATTGGTTCCATGGTGAGAAATATCTTTAGGTAGTACATTGCTAACATTTTCCTTGTTAGTACCAAGCAAGAGAAGGAGAAATAGTGACAGTTACCTTACTGCCTTACCCCCTGAAACAGATTTACATCCCTTGATACTTAACATTGATGATCCTCTTGATTATTCTCTCTGGTGAAGTCCATATGGCTCAGTTCTTATAGTAAACTCTGAAATAAACAGCTTCAGAGCTAAAATCCTGGGTCTTAGGGTACTGCTACAAATCCTAGCCTTTCTAGGCCCTTCCTAAATGGAAACCTGATATCCCCTTCTCATAAAGTGTGAGGCTGTGGCTAGATGCTCACAGTGGAAACTGCTGTTGTAGCTTTCCCAGGGTGCTTTGTTTGCTGCTGAAGATTTCTACTCTCATTATATTGAGGAAAACAGATTATTCTGCGACTTCCTCAACTGCTTAAGTGCAAGCCCCCTCATACCATCTTCAGCCACCTCTGGGATATATTTAAGACAACCTCCTGACCCTGTGCAAGCTCTCTGTTACTTGTTAGGGTCAGTAAGTTCTGTTGTGGTGCCCATAACCCGCAGTCACTCCAACATCTTCTCAGGTCTGTGCGTTTGATAGAATTGTGCTAACAAAATGCCTGAGACAATTCACTATAAATTCTCCTCTTATCACCTATTCTAGTAGTTACTAGAACATCATGTATAGACTTAACTGTTCAGTTCATCCTAAGCCTTGGCAGAGGTGGAACTGTATTTGACAGGCTGACATCAGAGGCTGTGATCCTGCTGACTTTACGATTCATTGTTTCTATGTAACACTCAACATAAAATTTATTTTTTTATGTATATATATTTGTAAAGGAAGAATATACTGTAATCAAAGGAAAGACAAAAAGACAAGGTCTTCCAAGACAAAATTTCTTGTTGTAATCAAATAGAGAAACAGATACATTCAGTGCCTCAATCTCCAGCTGGAGCCCGCGGCACAGGGGAAGGAAGGCCTCCACAGCCTGTTCTTTCCCGTCTTGTGCCAGCTCTGTGGGGAAGATGAAGGCAGCAGGCTCATGTCGGCATGGGGAGGCAAAGAAGCATGCTCGGAGCGGAAAGGCTCTTTGGGCACACTCGGTGCTGAGCTCCTGGCCTCTCCATCTCGGACAAAGCCGTCCGTGACCTCAGAGGGGCTTGCCTGGGGCCTGGAGCGCTCCTGCCAGCCAGGGCAGCAGCTGCCGGGTCCCCAGGGACCAGCCCGATGCCAAGTCTCTGCTCTGCAGGCACTAGAAATGGGTTGGGGAGAGGGGTTGCGGATGGAGAAAATAACTTTCTCTCCATGCCTTTCTCTCAGTCATTCCGGAGCTTGCTGCAGCTATTCCAGCCTAAATCACAACCAAGCAAAACAGAAGGTGCGTGAGGCAGAATCCAGAAACAACCAAAACTTTAAGCGCGGGGCCAAAAACTGGCAAAGGGACTTGTCTGGATCGGGGGACGCCCTGCGCCGGAGGCTGGAGAGCGCTCCCCGCTCCGAGACCCCCACACAGGGTCGGGAGAAGGTTTCTAATCGCAGATCTGGGCCGACGCTTCCTCCCCTCTCCGCCCCGCCCGCCACTTCCCGGTCCCATCGCTCCCCAGGGGATGGGGCTGTGCCCTGCGCGCCACGTCTGCCCCCCGGCAGGGACGCGGCCCATCCCCGTGTGCGTGGCGGCTCCCCGGGGCGGGCGCCGGGGCGGGGCGGGGAGCGTGGCGCGGCCCGGGCCGGCGCCTCCGCCTTCCCTCCATCCTCTCTGTCTCTCTCCTTCGCCTACTCCCGCTGCTCCCGCTCTGCGTACGGCGGCGGCGGCGGCGTCCCGCCATGTCGGCCGCCAAGCACCGGGGCACTAAGGGGGGCAGCCCGCCCGCCGCCAACGAGAAGGGCGCGCAGCCCGGCGGCGCCGAGGAGCTGCCGGTAAAGAAGCCGGCGGCGGCGGGGCACGGCCGGGGCGGCAGGGCCGGCGGGGGGGGCCGCTCCGGCGGCGGCCCCCGCCGTAGCTGGGCGATGCTGCTGAGCGCCGCGGTGGTGCTGGGCGCCGCGCTGCCCGCCGGCTGGTACATGCTGCAGCTGCAGGAGGAGGTCGGGCGGAGCGCCCGGGAGGTTGAGGCCTCGGGCCGGCAGCGGCAGGAGCTGGCCGCCACCCTGGACGCCGTGGTGCAGAAGGTAGCGCGGCGCCGGGCGGGCTGGGGACCGTCGGGGCGCTCGGTGCTGCTCGGCGGGCCGGGGGGCAGCAGCCGCCCGTGCAGGGGGGCGGGCGCGGGGATTCGCCCCTTAAATAAGGGGCTGTGCAGCTCTCGGGTGGCCTGGCTTGCGGAAAAGCGAACGTGTCCCGTTGGCTTCCCCTCCTCTTCCGCGCTCCCTCAAAGATGCTTTCATGGCATTATAGGGGCGGATGGAGTCAGGGCCGCGGTATTCCCCGTGCCTGCAAACGTGGCCCCAGAGCTGCGAGAAATCCCTGCCAGGCAGCGCAGAGCTGGGCGGGACGGGGCGGGCCGGGACCCCGCGGCGGTGGCCGCAGCCCCCAGCTGGCTTTTCCAGGGCCTGTGCCTGAAGCCATTTTATGGGAAGCGCTGCGTTCCGTGTCGGCAGCGGTGCGGAGCTGCCGTTCCGAAGGAGCTGCTGCCCCTGGTTCTGCATCTTCAAATCACTTAACCTAGCGGGGCGAACGAGCCGCTCGTCGCTGCCTGAGTAGGCAGGTGTGCACGCCAAGGGACATGGGGTGGCAGCGCCGTCAGAATGGGGCAGGATCCTGCCTCAGCGTCCCCACGCTCTAGAAAACAAAACCCGTGTGAGCTTCGCCGAACAACAGTGCCTGTGCCAGAAACACTGCTGCAGTACCCTGCCTCCCACGTTCCTGCCGCAGTCTCTGGCCAAGGGAGTGAGGCTCGCAGTGTCCAAGGCAGTGTCTAAGATAGTCCAGGATCATGGAAAAACTGTGAAGTTGCTGGTACAGGATGTGGCTCAAATGAAATGAAATAAATGCTCATTTCTCTCATTTCTTTTTTTCACTCTGACCCTTATTAGCCTCCCAGCTATAGTTTTACAAATAGCAGTATCCACTTGGATACGTCCTAGGGTGCCTGAAACCTTTAAAAATGGCATCTGTGATGGCATATCATCAACATACAATTAAACTCGTTTCCCAGGAGTAGGTTAATTGGTTGGAAGACAGTATGTAAAGTTATGAGTGAGTCAGATCAAAGAAAAGGAAATTCTTGTCTCAGCTTGACTGCTTTCTGCATGGCAGACCATTCAGATTCCCTGTATTCCCCGCGAGCTTGGACCTGGGCTGGCAGTGGGGGACAGGCACTGGCAGAGATCTCCTGGCTGTTCAGTGGTGCTTCCAGAAACACAGTGGCCTGAACATGTGGAGATTATATTGTCACTCTTGGTGTTTCCTGTCCCATACAACAAGGAGGAAAAGGAAAATTCATGTCAGTGAGGGAGAAGAGTTATAAACTTCAGGGCTATAGGGCTGTGTCTGAAGCTAATTTTAAATCCTGAGGGCTTTACTCACTGATGACAGGACAGTGATTTGAACTAGCAAAAGTTGTTGCTTTTTACTGGGTTTTAAGCCATTTTTGTAGACTGCTTGTAAGAAGGAAGAAATTGCAGTGGCAAGATGTAAAACTACAGTACATGAGTATAGAACTCAGATGTACATGCAATGTATAAGCCCTTCTAATCAAAGGATGGGGACAATTTACTGCCTCCCATCTTCATGTCATTGCAGAAAATTGAAAGTATGTGTTACGTATTCTAGGAGAGGAGTATATAACAGAAGTTTATAAATAATTGGTTTCAAAGACAACTGAAACTTACTTGCCTGTGATAGCAGATGGCTGTTAAAGGTGGGGGAAAGATCACAGGGTTTCGATGTAACCCGTGGAAATTTCAGTTGCTCTGGTTTGGTGGCACAGAAAGGTACTTGAGGGAGAGGAGAGCAGGCTGTATTTCATTGCTTTACAAAGGTGCAGGATCCTGTGCTGTACTCTTAGAGTGCCATCAGCAGAGGCTGCTGTGTTGCTTTGCCCTTCGTCTGACTGCAGAGAGCTTCTGTCAGGAGTAAGCATTATATAAACCCATCTGCTTTACACATCGAAGAGAAAGGAAATTATGTGGAGGTTTAGTCTTTTACATAGCACTGTTCTCAGAGAGGCCAAGGTCATTTGTGCAAGGGTAGTGCTTTGAGTCTTGGTGGCTTTTGGTTAGGACAAATCAGATTAGAAGCTGGTATAATTTGAAGACCCCAGTCCATTTTATTATATCAGAGCTCTCTGATCTTCAAGTGGCTGGCCCAGATGGGGAATAGCTTCAACTTACACCATGAACATTGCCTGAATGCAGTGGAGTGAGGTGGGATCCATCTCTATGAGTCATACAGTTGCAGAGGCTCAGCCCTCTGGAGAGTTGTGGCTATTTCTGATTGCTTAGACTAAAAAGATAGTTACTTGCAAATATTAATTTGGTGGTTTGGTTGAAATGTGTCACTGTAAAAGGAGGGGGAGGAGAATTTTCCTGTGTTATCCTGTTAGATTTCTGACCTCCATTTATAGTGATACAGAAAAAGCTCTCTTCTCTCTGTGGAAATAATCAGAATGAATGACAGCTAAGATGCAATGAAAACGAGGTTGGTAAGTCAGTCTAATGACGGGTGCCCAGCTGCAATGTGTATGGCAGTATTACCTTCTCCAACCCTTCCCCTTAGGTAATTTCTAATTTCCTATGGGAGCTCTAGAGAATACAAGTGTAGGGAAAGTAAAGACAGTAGAAACCTTTTTGCTGAAGAGGAAGAAAATAAGTGATCTTAATGGGTATTCTTCAAACTGCAGGGATCTGTCAAAGCAAGGGCAAGTCTCATGGCCAAACTCTACAATCCTTGTACTGTGTATACTTTCAAAACTAAGGAGGATTGGCCAGGGATCTGCAAAAATGCATAGAAATAACTTAATTTCTAATTAGGGTGTCTGTTAGGTATTTTGAAAATAATGTCTAGGTTCAGAGTCAGTCAGGGAACTGCTGGGGCCTGCTTCAGTTGAAAAGAATAATAAAAAAAAAGCAGCTCTGTGCATTTCTTTCTAAAACAATATAAAATATATTTCTTTCTATTTATAGAAAAAACCACCCCTCCAGCTGTGTATCTAATCAGTAAACATGGCAGCCCATGTGGCATGGCTGATTAATGTACCCCTCAGACACAGGGAGTAGTGTGAGGCAAGGCAACATGCATTACTCAGCACTTGCCATCCTGCCAAAGCCTTGAGGTATTTTCTGTTTGATGGATTCCTCTTGCAGCCAGTGGGAGTTTTTACATTGCTTTACTAAGTTTAAGAAAGTACAACCCACACATGCACAAAAAGATTTCTCCACAGTCTTAAGACTGATGCTCTGCTTGGCCTCAAAATTAAGTAATGTGTGCTTCCCTGGCCTGGATCTTACCTATAAATGTGAGAGTAAATGAACGTGACAGCCCCTCACCCCTTGACCTTTTCCCTCTGGCTACTACTAAAACCAGTTGTAAAGATAGTTTTTGTAATTGGGAGGTTTAATAGTGTACCTGATGCAGTGGTAGGAACTTTCTGTTAACCTGAGCTAGATGCAAGGCAGGCCCTTGGCAGCTGCTGTGCTTTTGTTCTCTGTGTGTACATACATGCGCTCTGCTCACTGTGACTGTGTGGGTGTATGCAGGAGTGGGAAAAACAAGCTGCTAACTATTTAGAACATTAAAGACTTCCTAATTTTTTCTAATCTTAAAAAATAGTTAACAAAAAACCCCGAATCTCTTGTGTTTCTCTTGGTCCCTAGGAGCAGCAAAATGTCATGATTACTATTTCCATTCCTTGGCCCATCCCAGCTCTCCTCTCCCCCTAATTTTTCCTGTTGCTCTTTGTTGCCTACTGTGAAACTTCTTTTTCATGATCAGGAATTGCTCTTTGGTATTCTTGACTGATAAAATCTAATCCCAGCTTTTCTATATTCAGAAGTTGATGCCAGATATTCTTTTGGTTTGGTTTTTTCCCCTCTCCCTCCTTTTTCTAAAGACTTGTGGTCTTTAGAACCAGGAATCCTGTAGGGGAGGGATGGTTTGGGGGTCTGCATGCAAATTCTGGAGACCAGGGATCCTTTTTCACTGCCACAGATTTCCTGGATCATGAGTGGCAGGTCAGTGAGGCCGAGGACCCTTATCAGAAGGTGTAGGTACTATAGAGCTGGAAGGCTCAGGATGCTGGGGCTTTTGTGCCTCCTATATCTGTGTGCCACTGTGTCACTTCAGGTATGGCACATGAAGGATTGCAAGGTAATCGTTTCGTCTGGTAACAAGGGCTATAAGGATCTTGGACAAAAAAGGATGAAATAGCTGGTATTAACCATGTGTGTTTCTGGCCTAGGTACGTTCTCTTCAAACCACATTTGGAGAATTTGAATCCATGATGAAAATTGTTCAGCAGAAGCAGGAGGTGAGCGAGAAGGCTGTTAAACAAGGGGAGAGTGAAATAAACCGGATCAGTGAAGTGCTTCAGAAGCTGCAAAATGAAATTTTGAAAGACTTGTCTGATGGCATTCACATGGTGAAGGATGCAAGGGAACGAGACTTCACATCTCTGGAAAACACAGTGGAAGAGAGACTAACAGAGCTGACCAAGTCTATAAATGATAACATTGCTGTATTCACTGAAGTCCAGCAAAGGAGCCAAGATGAAATCAATAATATGAAAGCAAAGGTTGGTTCACTAGAACAGGCAGATGTGTATAAACACGAAATTAAGGTGCTAAAAGATGCTTTTGATGAAATGCAAGCATCCATGAAAATGAAAGAAAAGGACATAGAGACCTTGAAGAGTACAATAGACTCCATGGAGTCTGATGTGTACACTGAAGTGAAAGAGTTAGTCAACCTCAAACAAGAACATGAGAAGTTCAAAGAGGCTGCAGACACTGAACACCTTTCATTAAAAGCTTTACAAGAGAAAGTTCTGAGAGCTGAGGGTTCTATTATGCAGCTCCCTAGTGACATTAAAAGACTTGATGAAGATTTACTGCAAGTTAAAGCCAACCTCAACAAATGGGAAGATAATGAACTCTTCAGGAAAGCCTTAGAAACCTTTGGGAAGAGCAATGGAGGACTGGAATCTCGATTGAGGCACATAGAAGACAGCCTAGAGTCTCTAGCGTCTGTTGCTGCTCAAAACAGTGAAAAGTTGGAATCTTTCCTTTCTAAGGAGGCAGAGTATGAGAATAAGCTCAATACCCTAGAACAAAGCATTACCACTCTTCAGGGACTCTCAAATACAGACGTAACTTCAGTCACAGATGCTCTGAAAAATCTAGGTGAAGCACAGACTTCACTGTACAACGACATGGAAAACTTAAGGAGAAGCATCAGTGGCTTGCCATCCTCTGGTGCTCTCCAGGATATCCAGAAACAAATTAGTACTTTGTTGGATCAAGGCAATCATCAGGCAGGTCAAGCACATTCTCAAGGCTACCTTGAAAAATTTTCTTCTATGGAAGGCTCTGTAGATGAACTGAGATCTTCTGTTAGCCAGGTTGATTCTGATTTGAAAATGATAAGAACTGCAGTGGATAGTTTAGTTGCCTATTCGGTGAAAATTGAGAATAATGAGAACAACTTGGAGTCTGTGAAGAGCTCAATAGATGACCTGAGGAATGATCTGGAAAGGTTGTTCGTGAAAGTAGAAAAAATACATGAAAAAGTTTAGGCAGTGGTGCTCCTTGGGCAAATAATGGGTTAAGGAAAATAGCTTTTGTATGCCCCGTTTTTTACTCTTTTTAAAAGCAATTTGATACCTCCAAAGAGAATAAGAATACTTTAATAATAGAGACAGTTCTGCTTATTTCCTTTATTTCATTTCCGTGTAGTGTTTTTGGAGTTTTTGTTGTTTGGATTTTTCTTTCCCTTAAGTTTTGTTTTAAGAAAACACGAGTTTAGTTGGGGGTTGAGTTTGTTAAGGGCTCATCTTCTCTATGAAGTTGTACCACTGTTAAGTGTAGTGGTGTAACTGAGGCACTACAGCCTCGTTAGCATGGGCACATATTTAATGGCATGAAGGTGTTTCACACTGACACTAGAAATCCCACACAGAAGGGAGAAGGGCTACAGCTGTTCTGGGACCCAAAGCATACTGCTGCACTCACCGAGGATTTTACTGGTATATTTGGGTTTAAGAAACAAACTATCTTAAACTGTTTGCTGCAGTGAACTTGAGTGGTGCAAGTGTGGAGCACCTCATCTGTTTCTGCAGTTTGGGACTCAGATGTGTGGTCAGTTTACCAAGGGTCAGCTGAGCTGCAGTGTATTTCTTAGACCTTAATCTGTACCAAGGAACTAACAAGGTCTGAGGTAAGTGGCACTGCCTGGGGCTAAGGCCTAGGAGATTCATTCTTCATGATCACATGCTTCTTTGCCAGCCTCTTCAGCTGCTGGTGCAGAAGATCAGTGCTTAGAAGGGACATCTGAAGGACTGGATTAATTTCAAGAGGGTACTGTAATATTTTTGCCATATTTTTAGACTGTTTACATGATTAGGCTGTGTCTTCCTTGAAAAGATCTAAAATTTGGTCTTTGATAAGGGGTTTTTCTGTAAAAATCACCACAAATTTGAGGAAAGAGAAGGACCAAAATTGTACCTGTTGTGTTCCATGTATAACAAGCATGCTATCAACAGCAATAATACACTCCAAAACACACAAGAGGGAAAATCACCATGAAATCAGCAGAATTGCTTCTATGGCATATACATTTCCAAGTTTTCACACAGCTGACAGTGACCTGAACTCTTCTTACATATTCAGGACTTGGCACCTGATTCTTGTCACTATTTTTGTCACCAGGTGTCTGGCTGGGGCATTGGTAGCAAAGGAACCTTCTAGGAGAGTGAGGAAAAGGTGTCATAATTCTGTAGATGGTCTTCTAAAAACTGCTTTCTTGTGAAGCTTCTTTGGTTTTCTGTCTTTTTGGAAAGGATTTCTAATATCCCTCCTTTTTGAGTTTACTTTTCAACTTTATCCAAATAATTGGTAAAGAAGTCTGCACACGGATACCTTGGAAATAGGCCATGGGCATCATGCCCACTTCAGCCTGGACCAGACAGATCCTCGACTGTGTTAGATAAAAAATTCCTAGAAATAGCACCTCCCAGAAACGGGAACAGCACAAGTGAAAAGGAGTTCTCCTAGGTAAATAGGATACTGAACCATATCCAGTGTTGTTCCTGCTGTAAACGGGAAAGAATTGCTGTCAGAGAAAGAGGGAGCCATGGCATTAAGGTAACTGTTGTCACTGTTGGAACTGCACTGTTCTTTGTTGACTTCTCAAGTTCTTGAACAATGTTGTTTAGGTTACTGTGAAATGAACTGTATGGCTTATTTGCAGTATTTTTAATACATAATAAACATTTGGAATATTCTTTGCACCTTTTTTTTGGTTGCTGCTTGCTTATTGTATTTCCCAGGGTGCTTCCAGTGGGGTACAGGGAAGGGCTTGGGGAAACACACCGGATGTGCTGCAGCCCTGTACTTGTTCTCGGCTTCCATGGGGAAATGTCGAGGCACTTTTGCCTGCTGTGGTTACAAACCAAGTCTTGGAAGCAGGGTTTGAGTCGCATCAAGGTGTTGCTGTTGACCAGCAGACTGGAGCCCGAGAAGGTGATCATAAAGTGTGAAATACCTGATCTGTGCCATGAGTGAGTTCTGTGCCAGACACTGCCAGCAAGGCCTCTGTAAGACTTCCTCAGTGCCCAAAGCTTGTAGGACAGAAATAATGTGTAGAAAGAACCTGTGTGATATTTCCACAGTGGCTGCTCCTTTTGCTTAGCTTGGAATGCTGGATTGTTAGGCCCATCAACTGATACTATTCTCATGATGGATATCTGCCTTTCAAAAGTTTGGGAAAGGGTAATTTCAGGAGTATGAGCATCATCAGATCCTGGCAATTCTTGAGGCCAAAGTCACAGAAATGGGTCATAACTCTTTAATTAAACTACACATACTTGACAAAGCAGGTGAGCACCCAAGCTCTTCTGTGTAAAGATATTTGAGATAACCTGTTGGCAGCAAGCTGCCTGACAGCATGCAGTGACTTTATAGTAGCTGCATGATGTTGGAACTTGGGCTGTTAAAGCCAGCAGTGCAGCTGGGCTGTATTTGATATCAAAAATTAAACAAAGAATTACTAATTACACTTCTAGTAACTGAATTTTTATGGCAAGCTATTGAAATTATTTATTTCACTAAGTGAGAATAATAATTCTCTGTAAATAATAAGATGTCTGGAGGCAGGCACAGAGACAAGGATTCCTCGGCAGGCTGGTGGCTCAGCTTTTATGTCTTGTTTGACATTTTCATCCAATAAAAACATTTCCTAATTTCCTCATAAATGCTCACAGACCTAATGCTGCTCTTTACTGTCATTCTTCAACTTCGTAATGAAGCAGTGGAGAAGGTCTTCAGCAAGACAGAGTGTGTTGCCAGTGTTCCTTTATACTACTGGGAGTTCATCAGTAACATGCTGTTACAGTAACAAATTTCACCATAAATTGTCTTACCTGATTGATGTGGTATTGATCGGGCCTGTTCATTAACTCTTGCTTTCATTTTCGGCTCTCATAAATGGAGAAACCATTTCACTGAGGCACTATGGACTTGATCACTCTTGAAAGGGCTACGCTGGCAAATGTGATGGAGATAAATCTTGGGCTGCTGCAGGAACTTCTCCCAGCGGGAATTCAACCACTGCCTTGAGCTAAATTACTGAGAAGGGCATCTGGTGGTCTAAATGTGTGCGTTGGAAGTTTCATTAAAGCATGGATTAGTGATTTAGTGTTTTTACTACCTTTTTTTGACATAGCTCAACTGGTACCTTAAACAAAGCTGCAGAGAGATTAAATGTCTGCGGGAAAAAAGTCTGTCTGAGATGTACAAACACCCCAGCAGCCAGAAAACATCCAGCGTGGCCCTTCCGCTTGCCAAGGGTGCTCTCTGTGCAGTTTGGAGCCCTGCAGGAAAGGAGCGGCTGGGCTGGAGCGACTCCCCAGGAGAACGGCGGCGACGATGGGAGGCGAGATGTTGCAGGAGGAGAGACGTAGCGAACGGGGCTGTTGAGACGCGGACAAGCGGAGGGCAAGGCAGGCTGGCAGGGAAGGAGGAGCGCAGGCAAGGACGAGCGCTCCCCGCTCCCCGGGGCTGAGGGCGCGGAGCGGGGCGGCGGCGCCGGGCGCCCCCCGGTGGCGGCGGCGCGGCAGCGGCACGGGCTCTGCGCCAGCCCGTCCGTCCGTCCGTCCGTCCGTCTGTCCGTCTGCCCTGCCCGCAGGGATTCCCTCCGGGGACAGGGGCCGGGAACATGTCCGCCCAGGCACATCCAGCTGGCAAAGGACAGGCGCCAGGCTCCCCCCCGCTTCCCCTCCCTCCTTTCTCGGGTCCCGCCGCGGCACCGGCCCGTGTGCCCTGTTTAATGCTCTCCGTCGCCCCGAAAAATCCTTCATCCACTGCGGAGCTGATTCGAGAAGCAACTGCCGCTTATTCTGCCCAGTTTTGTCATTTTGCTAATAACTGGTCCCTGGCCCATTTGTCGTGCCATCACTTGCTTGGTTTATACCTGTTTAGGGAGGGGGAAGCTGTATCTCTTTTGGGTTTAGTATCAGTGCTATGTGGTACTTAGCACTGTGAGATGCTAATCCCTGTTGCTCCTCTGAGTACTCGTACATTATTGCTACCCTGGCCTTCCTGCATGTATTTTGGTCATTGTCATCCTCCACTAGCCAAGTGCAGATATTCACCAATGTCAGACATGCTTGTTCAGAATATTTACATTCAGGACTTTTTGAACAGCTATTTGTAAATCTTGGCATGAGGTCAAACAGCAAAAAAAGGGATTCCCTTGCCAAGAACCCATTTAGTCTAACGCTGACCAAGGATGCTCAAAGGGAAATTCTGCCTTGGACACCCAAACAAAAAGTGTATTTTGTCCTTGTTCACACAAGAAAATCTCTCCAGAGTCTCTAGTGTACAATCCATTGCAAGCTCCCAATATAATGTAATTTCTCCAGAGTCAGTGCTTGCTCATGCGCTTGGAAAGTGAAAGAACTTGGAAATCTTTTTATGTGAGCAGAGCTTGATAATTCCTGCATTTATAATGCAAATACTAAACCCCAGAGCTATTCAGAGTTAAGACAGCATCACAGTTGTAGCCTGCTAGACCTCAGACAAAGACATCCCTGAACTCTGATTTTTTTGCTTATGGAGTAGGTGTTCCCTTGGTTGCCACAGATTTGCAAATAGTACATCTCAAAATCTTTTCCAAGATGATGCTACTAGATGCTCTGCTTAGCATCAAGGGGACAAAGCTCTTCTCAAGTGATTCCTGTTTCACTGTGAGAGAAATAAAAGCCAAAGAAACAATTTCTCATTTTACTGTGTATCCTGTTTTGAAAAAAAAAATACATATAGTTTTGAGGAAACACTTATTACACAATTAACTCCTCCTGTGCTTCACCCTGGTGTTCATCTGCAATTCTAGAGGAAGAAGCTAGTTCAAATAAGGGCAGCTTTGTTCCACCCAGAAAGATTTTGCTTTGGCACTCTCTAGATGTAAATATGTCAAATTCCAGTGCATAATCCTTTCCTGTCAATACTGCTTAGGTTGGGGTTGGGATAGAATCCTAGAGTTATGAGTAAGGATGGAAAACATAACAAGTGGAGAAATAATCAGGGTTACCTTGAAACTTCTGAATTTTTTTATTGCTCTGACTTCTGAAGTTCTGACAATTTTTTCTTTTGCTCTCATTTCTCCCTTTTCACCAAACTTCTCAACTGTATATACATAGTTGGGGGATACAGACTATTATGCTTAGATTTTAATTGATTTACAGTAAAAATCTGAAGTCACAAGCAAAACCATGCCTTAAGATGAGAGCCACTGAAGAGCTACTTGTTTAGAGAGAGCACTGCAAGAGATGTGATCTAAACATAGGAATTGATATCCTTGTCAGTGGCAGGTAAAACAAAAACTTTGCAGTTCCCAGAGTGTGTTTGAATAGTTCACGCTTTGGTGTCACTCAGGCCAAAAAAACCTTACTGAACCAAATAATTCCCTGCCCTGGAAACTCAAAATGCTTTTGCAAGGGAGTGAGATCCAACCTGCAAGGTGGTGTGCCTGTGAGCCAGAGACCTGGGAAGGGCAGCAGACTACCTCTAGTCTGTTCAGCCAGTGTGCAAAGTCTGTAAATTGAAACAGTATGGTCAAAAGAAAATTTCCACCCCGCTGGAAAACTTATACAGAGTGACAACGGTCCTGATCCAGGTCCCACTCAAGTCAGTAGCTACATTCCCCTTTTCTTTCCTGGTACAAGATTTAGGCCAAAACACTTCACCCAAAGCCACATTGTAAATGTGTAATATGCCCAACAATAATTTCCAACACCTCAAGTTAAAAAAATTCTTTCCTATGAGTGCATCAGAGTTACTTACCAGAATACCTAATAGCTAACAAATCTTCCCATCCTGAAGCGAGGATCTCCTTTTTCAAGATCCCTTCTCAGAGTCTAGACAAAGCACTGTAGGAACATTATCAGAGGAGCTAGTACTGGCTTATGTGGTATATGGATTAAAGAAATAGGGTTTGTGGTGCTGGGCAAGCAGGCTGGGCCTCAGGGCATGTTTATTGACTATTTCTGTTCAAAAAGATTAACAATGTAGATAGCCCAATGCTCACCAGTAGGCTCTTCACTGAGGGACAGCCTTCTCCATGCTGTTGTTTCCAGCCGCCTGGAGTTTCAGACAGAGCAGCTACCTGGTACATGTTCAGCTGATGCCTTCAGAGATGCCATCACAGCCCTCACAGACAGAAACAAAAGGGACATTGATTGATCTGAATGTGTGCCCTGAGTGAATGCAACTGTTGTTATTTCTACATCATGCATATAACACCAGGGCCCAGAGGTTCAAACAGGTGCTGGATGAAAAGATTTATTTAGGCACCTGTCCACTGGAATGCTCCAGGCATCAAACCACTCTCCCAAGGGCATATTTTTTAGGATTAAATGTGTGTTTCAAGCACCCCATTCTGATAATTTTTGCCTCATCCCTATATCAGATCTTTAATATTGTACATTCACGTCTAAAAATGGTATTGGTCTTAGCACATCCATTGAGGATTGCACATTCTCAAGGTGGTTTCTTGGTTCTATCTAATGTGTTTAGCATTTTAAAATAAGATATGCATGAAAAAGAGCAGCTTTTCCATTCAGAAAGGAGATATTTGTATTGCTAATAATAGCCCTACTAAGCTTTTGTGACCTTGAGATTGATGGAAGGATAATTAAGCTTTGCCAGAGTCTGAATCCTTATGTATAATTAACTGAGGTGATAATAACCTCTTAGAGCCATGCAAAATACCTCTGTAGCTGAATGCATTCAT